AATTCGAGAAAGTCTCTGAGCTCGGATTTACAAAATCCGAATTTCCCCTGTTTCTCCTCAAATTGCAACTCTCGGATGTTTTTCACAAACACGGATTTCCTAAATCCGAGTTCTTAGTAAATTCGAGAAAGTCTCTGAGCTCGGATTTAGGAAATCCGAGTCTCCCCTGTTTCTCCTCAAATTGCAACTCTCGGATGCTTTTCACCCATTCGGATTTCTGAAATCCGAGGCCTTTGCAATTTCAAAAAAACTCGAGCTCGGATTTGAAATCCAATGCTTCTAAAACCTTACAATGATGAGTATTTTGCACAATCCGATTTTGATTATGAAAAATAGTACATATTTCATCACACTTTACAATCCGATAAATTCAATGTTCACATTACAATCCGAATTTATCAATGTTCACATAAATTTATCAAACACTACATAACTTGCAAGAACGAGTAAATTACACTCAATTCCATTTGTCATTCACAGTCTTCTATCTACTCTGGGTGCGAGACGGACATGAATTGGCATCATGACCTAGTTGTCCACATCTCCAACATTCCCCGACTCGGCGTCCCCGTAATCCATTTGCATTCTATGTCTCCTTTTTTGTCTTCGTCCCGGTCCCGCATGCAACACAAGACGCTCATAATTCGGAATGATGTTCCAATTGACCATCGGCCATTGTTCCTCATCGGGAACCGGAACAAAGCCCGTGTAATGAAATTGTCTGCGCCACGTTGGAAGGCGCCACACACTATGGTATAGATCAATAGGCCGATCCCCTTTTCTCCGACAAACTTGGAGTGCATGCGTACAAGGCATCCGGTACTCTTGCCACTTCTGCACGAACACCTATGTTCATCGTAGTTCACCGTATGCGAGACCCACCCCGCCACTTAGGCGTGTGGCGGTAACAACACGCCACATAGCATCATCACCATCGAAAGGGGTGGCTTCAAAGCTGCTTGCTTTATCATTCATTTTCTCGTATTTTTCCATAACTCGGGAGGGATCGGTGTCATGCAATTTCTCGAGACAATTGTTCTTCTCTATAGAATTTAACAGTTTTGCGAAAGGTTGCATCGATCAAGGCTCTAATTGGTAAAAAACGGATCCCTTTCAACGCATTGTTGTAACTCTCAGAAATGTTGGTTGTCGCTATGCCCCAACGGCGAAGACCGGCTTTCAATCGAGCCCAGTTACTCCCCCCAATCCCTCGAAGATACTCCCATGCAGCGGGTTTGAATTCAATAAGCTCGCCTCATACGGTTGTATTTCACTCTTGAAAGTGTCGTGCCCCTCTTCCAACATAACCGCTTCACCTTTTTGCTATTATATCGCGACACAAGATTGCTGCGAACGTGGCGGAGGCAAAGAAAGTGCCCACCATCACCTAAATCACGCCATTCATCCATCTGTGACATTGCGCTCAACAACCCTGCATTCCGGTCGGATATCACACTTACGATTCTATCATACACAACCCACAACCTCAAATTCCTCATAAAAAATGTCCAACTCTCTACTGTCTCCTCATCAACAATCGCAAATGCAACCGGTAAAATGTGCTTGTTTGCGGTATACACCACCGCAACAAGCAATTTACCCTTATATCCACCACGCAAAAAGGTTCCATCGATACAAATGACCGGTGGACATTCAAAAACGTCTCACCACGGTGCAAATGACCGAAGACGTATTTAAATGTCCGGTTTCCCTGTTCCAACCTTCTTGTCCCTCCTTCCATTCCCACTCTACTACGGTCTCGGGATTAGTAAACTTAAGTGCGGCGATATACCTAAACAACAACAAGTCATTGTTAAAATATTTCAATACATGTAAAAATAAAAATACTATAAATATTTCAATACACGGATAAAAGTTGATATTTACCGTGGAAGTTCTTCAAATTGGAGGTCCAATCACCATAAACCGCTTCTATGGCTTTCCTCCTCCCGTGCCACGCCCTTTTGTATGGCACATCTACTTTCAATAAGGTCTTCACATCTTTCGTGCCGAGGCTACCGTATAATCTACGTTGTCCTCAACCTTTCTCTGATGAGTCTAGCAATCAAAGACGCGTCGACACACCGATTGTCATTATCATTCACGAGTCATGCAATTATGTGCATCATGCCATCTCACAATTTCATGAAGGCCGTGAGCTTTCAATGACACACGCATCTTCCACTCACATGGTGGTTCACCATCCTCACTTTCCACATTAAATGTTACGCACCGCATGCCCACGTCCTTGGACTACTCGCGGCGACCGTATATTCCCTTTTATGATGGATATTCCATAATTTCACAGCATGCTTTGCTTCTGATTGAGATTTGAAACAAACACCAATGTCCATTCCTTCGGGCGTCTCATCCCACATCTTAAGAGCAAACTCATCCTTGTCTACACATGAGGCATCCCAGTTCCCATCTTACTATATACATGGCGTCGGGCGAATAGATTACAATCCCTTTCCTCATTTTCCAACCTTTCATCATCACTTTCTTCAAAATCACTCTCTCCGGAGACATCATAGTCTTCTTCGCTTTCACTTGGAGCTATGTAGTCGGAATCCAACTCTTCCCGTAGTCATTTTGTGCAAATAAAGGTGTCTCCTCTTCATCACGGTTTCGAGAAGTACTAGCACGTTCCCCTTCGAAAATCACCAAATGACACGTTTTCCAAACTCGCTTCTCTTTCTTCTTGAGTGATATCTTCCAAATCTATGTATAAATCCAAACATGACATTGGATCTACACGGTTCATGAACTCTACATGCGAATCATTCTTGATCTTCACTACACGCCTACCACCGGACTATCGAAAATCAAAGAAAGGTGGAGTTTCACGTGTGCTGCATCCCAACCAAGGGTCATACAAATCTTACTAATCAATCCCTCATATGACAACCTTTCTTCGACAAACAAACCATCATCCGGCATATTCGAAAAAGTGTTGATGCTACCGTTCTCTATCACATACTTACTTGTATGATACAAATTAAGCATGTATGATACATTACGTGCCATTGATAACTGTTAAAAAAAACATCAATAACTAATCATTTCTTAATAACAAAATCAACAAAATACACCATACATTCTCTAAAATACACCATACACCATACACCATACATACTCCAACAAATACACCATACTAAAATACTTATAAATCAACTTCGATATCTCATGAACAACAATGATTTCTCATCTCTAACCTCAAAATCAACACCTAAAACATCCAAACAACCAACCAACATAAACCCTAATCTATCATACATCATTCTAACAATCAAAATAACACAAAAATAAACTAAATAACATGGTTTTGCAATCTAACCTCTTTCAAATAACGATTTCCACGTATCTAGAGGCAATAATGCATCAAAAACTTCAATTCGCCCTTGTTTGAGCTGCAAAAACAGAAAATCCAACTCAGTTCTCGAATGAGAACTGCAAAAATTTTTTTCTTTTATAGCACGTTAAACTGGATTTACGAAATCCGAGTCAAGTAAGTAACTTCGGATTTTGAAATCCGAATCGTGTTAGATTCGGATTTCATAAATCCGAGTTTAGTCAATTCAGGATTATTTTATTAATTTGTTGGTCCTCCAATATAAGGCACATGCCTACTTCCACCAACCAAAATTAAAGGCATCCGGATTTCTAAAATCCGAATTCGTCAAACCGGATAACGGACTTCCGGTTTTTTGGGTTCAAAAATTTCGCGCCGCGATTTATTAATTTTTAAATAAACTCGGATTCTACAAATCCGAGCTTTACTATTCACTAAAGAACAAAAAAACTATTATTCAACAAAATTTATGAAATTATTATTTTATTATTAAGTATGGATTCGGATTTACAAAATCCGAATCTCTAATATTAATCAACACTCGGATTTCAGAAATCCGAGCGATATATTTCTGTCCACAGATTTTCTGAAAAATTTAATTTTGTCCACGTTTATTTTATTTAATTTTTTTTGGGAAAAAGCCCATCTACCATTAACAACGATGTCTAATTTCCCACAAATCTTCATCCAGAATCGAACGAGGACCAAAAGCCAGGAGAATCCTCCCAACAAATGGCAATTTTTCATTCCATTTCATCAACAACTTGAACCCATCTTTTTAGAAGTAGTACAACTTAATCTCCAATATCTTTCCAACTTACTACTCTCATCCTCGAAGTCAATGTTTTTAAAATCGGAATTTCACACAGGATCGTTTTGGCGTCTCAGGATCGGATCGAATTCTGAATCGGTGAGATCGGATCGGTGGAATCGTAACCATTTAAAATATTATAATAATTCTGAAATTGTGAGTTTCAATTTGTTAATTCAATTCTTGTTTGATTTTATGGAAGAGAAGTAGACTAATGTCCACATACGTATCATCAACTCAAAATTTCAACTTTTATATATTTTATAATCATTTCCCATTCTTTTTATACAAAATCAACAACTTGTAAAAGTATCGACAAAATCAATGGGATCGCACGATCCAGATTGGGATTTTGAAGGATTCCATAAAATCTCACTACAAAGAAAGATTTCAAAAAATATAGGATCAATTTCCTAATTCCGGATCGTAAGATTCTGAGATCCGGATCGGGATTTTGAAAACTATGCTTGAAGCTACATCCTTCAAGTTTCATGTTTCAACTATAGTCAAGGAAGGAGCACCTACATTTATTATTGATCTTGAGCTGAATCATTTTTTTTCCGTATTAAGACAACAGTCATTATGCTCTTGCTCTCTCTGAAAAAAAAAGAAAAAGAAAAAGAAAAAAAGGGTAACCATTAGAATTATTCTGAAGGACGGTAGGAGGACAGATGCGTTCATAATCATACAATTGTTTAAATTACTTTCTAGAACGATTATAATTTATAATTTTTTTTGGGTCAAAATATAATTTATAACAATAACCTTTTTTTTTTTGGATGCGTTTGCGGTTCGCACGATTGGAAGGACCAGCAATCGCAAATGAAACATCTACGGCTTCTAAATTGCCACGTAATTCCCACACGAGCATGTTAATTATGGCCTAAAAGGTGGGTTCCACATCGGATATTCAGTGTAAAAAATAATCAGAGCTCTCAGCTCTCATCTCAAATCCTTTCCCAATTTAGGGTTTTCAAGCTCTCCAAAACCCCTCGTTTTTATCATTCTCTCCCTGCTCAATTTTATTGCATTTCATCCAAAACCCATTTCCCTTAATTCACCATTTCTTCGTTTCAGCATCTGGATTGCTCCAATTTGGTCGAGGGGACTTTGAGGTTTCATTTGGCTTGAGCTATATTTTTTCGTAAGTCTCAATCTCTGGTTCGTGTCTTGGTAATTTTATTCCCCTTCACTTGTACGAAATTAACTTCAATTCATACACGAATTTGGTTATTTTTCTGAATTCCGAGATTAAATTTTTTGGTTAAAGTTTGAGTATTTAGGAGAGAGGGAGAGGTTGTTGAGAGAAGGTATATGGGGAAATCTGGGAGTAGGAAAAAGAAGGGTTCATCTAGCCAAAACCAAAATCAAGGTTCTACTGGGCAGAATAGTAATAATAACCATCCACCTGTTGCTAATGGTGGTGTGGATTTGGACTCTTCAATTTTCTTGAGAAGAGCCCATGAACTTAAAGAAGAGGGAAATAAGAGGTTTCAGGCTAAGGATTATGCAGGGGCTCTCCAGCAATATGACTCTGCCCTTAAACTAATTCCAAAAACACATCCCGAAAGAGCAGTTTTTCATAGTAACAGGGCGGCCTGTTTAATGCAAATGAAGCCAATAGATTATGATACTGTAATTTCAGAGTGTTCCCTGGCACTTGAAGTTCAGCCTGGATTTGTGCGGGCTCTTTTGCGAAGGGCCCGTGCGCTTGAGGCAACGGGGAAGTATGATATGGCAATGAAGGATGTGCAAGTATTGTTAAGTGCTGATCCTAATCACAAAGATGCTTTGGAGATTGCTGGGAGATTGAGGATGGCCACCATTGGTCCTCGTCAGGAAGCCCAACAGGATCTCCAGAGTCGCCCGTCGCCTGCTGCTCTTGGTGCCTCTGCTGTCCGGGGGGCTCCAATTGGTGGTCTTGGACCTTGCTTGCCCGCTCGGCCTGTAAACAAGAAGGCGGCACCTCCAGCTGTGGGGCCTACTACTGTAACAGCAAACCATAAACTAGACAAGGCTAATTCAGTTTTGCTTACTGAGAATGGTGCAGAGGCAAAATCACAGCTGCCAAAAGTTGTTTTGAAGCCTTCCCATGGTGCTGCAAAACTGGGTGCCAATTCAGCTAAAGATAGCATGAAGGATCCCCTATCATCAACATCGATACCTGTTCTGCAACATGAAAAATCCGCAGCAGTTACCACTCAATGGAGACAGCTGAAGCTTGTTTACGATCATGATATTAGACTAGCTCAAATGCCGGTGAGTTGCAATTTTAAAGTGTTGAGGGATATTGTCGGAAAACGGTTCCCAATGTCCAAATATGTCCTGATTAAGTACAAAGATAATGACGATGATTTAGTAACAATAACTAGCACAGCAGAGCTCCGTTTGGCAGAGTCATTAGTTGATAATAATCTTTGTTCAAAAGACCCCGATGATGATAATAAGCAAGCAGTTGGGATGTTAAGGTTGCATATTGTTGAGGTGAGTCCCGAACAAGAGCCAGCATTGTTAGATGAGGAAGAGGAGAAACCTCCTGAAACCGAGGAGATAAAAGGTGACGAGAATGCATCTGATTCTTCATTAGGTGAGTCTGTAGTTGAAGCTGTGGATAATGAAGTTGATAACAAGAATGAAAAGGAAGAACCAAAAGAGAAAGCTGGAACTTCAGAGGATCCTGAGTGCAAGGAAGTAGAGATGGACGATTGGTTGTTTGAGTTTGCGCAGTTGTTCCGCACGCATGTTGGAATTGATCCAGATGCTCATATTGATCTTCACGAGCTGGGAATGGAGCTTTGTTCAGAAGCTCTTGAGGAAACGGTGACAAGTGAAGAAGCTCAAACCCTTTTTGATAAGGCAGCTCTCAAGTTCCAGGAGGTGGCTGCTCTTGCTTTCTTTAACTGGGGAAATGTTCATATGTGTGCAGCAAGAAAAAGGATTCCCATAGATGACTCAGCTTCGAAAGAGTTCATGGCTACACAACTTCAAACCGCTTATGATTGGGTTAGGGAAAAGTATTCTCTGGCCAGACAGAAGTACGAAGAGGCTCTCTCCATTAAACCGGACTTTTATGAGGGCCTATTGGCACTAGGGCAGCAGCAATTTGAAATGGCAAAACTCCATTGGTCTTTTGTTTTGGCTAAGAAAGAAGACCTGTCCAAATGGGATTCCACTGAGACACTGCAACTTTTTGACAGTGCAGAAGAAAAAATGAAAGCAGCAACCGTAATGTGGGAGAAGCTGGAGGAGCAAAGAGCAAATGACTTAAAAGATCCGAATGCAGCAAGCAAGAAGGAAGAATTATTGAGAAGGCGGAAAAAGGTTGGAGGAGAAAATGAAGGCTCATCGGCTAGTGGTAGTCATGGGGAACTTACTGCTGAAGAGGCAGCAGAACAAGCCGCTGTTATGAGATCTCAGATACATCTGTTCTGGGGTAATATGCTTTTCGAGCGCTCTCAAGTTGAGTTTAAGTTAGGATTGGCTGGTTGGAAGAAAAATTTAGATACTGCAGTCGAAAGATTCAAGCTTGCTGGAGCTTCTGAAACCGACATTGCAACCGTCTTGAAGAATCATTGCTCCAATGAAGAAGCCATCGTAGAAAGACCAGAGGAGAAACAGGTAAAGGATCTGAATGAAGGGGAGGGTAATGAAGGAAATGGGGCCAAACAGACTGCAGGTGACTGATTTGTATCAAGTCGGTGCTATCTCTAATGGCTTCAAATTTGGCTGGACTAAAGGACTAGCTCTGCTTTGGGATGCTCAAATGTCGAAAATACTCGGGGTGTTTCATATTCATCATGTTCTCATTAGGATGGGATAGTTTTCTTGGGGATTTCAGCGTACTCCTAATACTTTGAAGCTGTTCCAGGCTTCCAGCTGATGGTAATGCATGCTATATTATTGCTTGTGTGTTTCTCGGAGTCTGTGGTTATTCAGGGCTTCTGAAGTTACTCTTTTTGGTTGTTAATTCTTTGATCTTCGTAGTTATTCTTGAGCAATTCCTGTGCCCAACAAATTTTGAATGACGTAACCTTTCCTTCATAGTAGAGGACTAATTTCTGCCCTTTCCAAATCTATTTTATTTCTATTGTCGGAACTGTATTGTCGTAGTTCATACTGGGAAGTGTAACTTTATTTCTTTCTTTCCGAGACAGATTACAGTTAATCCTGAGTTAGCTAAGGCACATGTCGATTTCCCTACGTAGTTTAAGGCTTCAATGAATGGGTGTTTTTCATACTTCATTGATGGAAAAGCTTGCAGTATTTAGTTGTCATTTTGATTTCTATATCAGACAAACTGGTGAAAATCTTAGGTCGAATTGATTTTAACACTGATCCATTATCAATACAAGGGGGATTCACCTTTCCCTTTCCCTTGCCCTCTCCTGTCAAGATTCCAAAGGTTTAAAAGAGCTCTTTTTGGATGTAGATGCTCCCAGCTCTTAGAAAGTTGAAGTCCCCTGAATAAAGGTAAAAGAATTCTTGTCAGCAATAAGCATAGGATGAGGTCCATAATCTCTGAATTGACCTTAGACCAGCTTCACAATGAAAATACTGGTGACTTCTAAACAGTTAAACTTGGATTCGGAATTGATCGAAATTCTAAGCTCGAAATCTTCATAGTGAAGTTCTTTTTTTCAGAATTATTGGTGCCTTTACATCAACACGTGGAATTTTTGTGGGAACGTGAAATAACCTTTTGTTTGTTAGGCTGAAAGACACTAGGCAGCAAGTCGCAGAATCATCATTTTCAAGTCAAAGAACGATAACCAAACAACATTCCAAATGGAAAAAAGATACTGAAAAGAGTTCTCTTTCAGCACCCAACCAAAACCAAAACTCACGCAAATGGTTTATAGTGGGGAGTGGCTCACGTTGCAGAACAGTTGTAAATGTTGGATAAAGTTTATACCATCATTTTAATATATGCTTAGGAGTGTTAAGCTTGTCTCATTAGTCATAAACACCTTTTTGCAATTGTTAATTGGTACATCCCTTTTTAACATAGTACTAAAGTAAAAGGTAACTAAAGGGGTGGGGAAAGTCCAAATTTTGGTAGATTCTCATTTTGATTAGGTGACCAAAGTAGAAAGCAAATCTTTGGGATACTTTTGGCAACTAATAATACACAGCCCAGCAAATCAAATCTGACAAACCAGATAATTATATCAACTCATCCCAAATCCAGATCTTAAAATGACTACACCAAACGTACTAGAATTATACAAACTCAGTTCATTGAGATTTACTACTACTATACTAGGATGGGATTAACAGAGACTTGCATGCAACACTGGATTCCAATCATTAATAAATTGTTTTCCAATCAATCTCAAACTGTTGCAATTGGACCCAAATTCACGGTGCTTTCCACGGCCTTCATGGCTTCAAATCTGGGCTCTTTGGCTTGAAACTTGAGAGCAGCATAGAGCTTCATGTAATCCTCAAACACAAACTTTGGATAAATTTCATTCTCCTTTGCTTCCTTCTCCACCAATTCAGGCGCCGGATAGATGACAGCGTCACTTCCTGGATTGTAGAAAGATGCAATTGACATCCTGTTTCCATCTGTTTGAGCAATCACCCGGTGCACCACGCTCTTGTACTTACCATTTGTTATCACCTGCGTAAAAACACAACAATGACATTATTTAGTCGCGATTTTCATCAATGTCGAAAAAGATTAAATAACATTACGATAACAATGAATAAATGTGTCACGTTTTTTTTTTAGTGTATTACTAGTAGGTACATTATTAGTGTTACCTCAAGTTGGTCACCAATGTTGACGACAATTGAGTGGCGCATGGGAGGAACGTCAACCCATTGACCATCAGCTTTGAGGAGCTGAAGCCCACTGACCTTATCATCCTGGAAGAGCAGGATGATGCCGCCGGCGTCGGTGTGTTCCCGGAGGCCTTTGATCTGTTCCGGACGAGGGCAAGGTGGGTAGTTTGCGACTTTGGTCCCAAAAGTTGGGCCCTTTGACCCATAAAAGGCCTTCTTCAGATACCCTTTCTCAAGTCCAAGGTTCTCACACAGCAAGTCCAACAGCAGCTCTGCTAGTTTCTCCAGTTTCAGTGCGAATTCCTTCATCACCTTCCTGTGTCATTTTAATTTACAGTACAACTTATTTGAAAGTCATGTTCCTGATTACAAAAGATTCACTTCTTAATAGAATATATAATATTTTACTATATAATTATATCCGAATTAGTTATCAGTGTGATTTGGGAAAATCTGATCCTTTATCTTTTCCTACTTGTACTCCTTCATGTGAAAATATTTTGTTTGCAGTGATACAATTTGGAATAATCAGACCAGTAGTTTGAAGGTCAGTTGTCAATAATGTGGTCCAAGTTAGTAGGTAGGAACCCAATAATTTATTACAGCTAGTATCCCATTTTGTGGGAAGAAAAAAGGTTATCTGCCTCATACATTGTTACTGTCTGTTAGGACTGAGTAAAAACTATAAAGTTGACTAAGAAACATTAAAAACTGTTAGATTAAACAGGTTGTTAATGACATCAATTCGGTAAAGGGGAAAAAAAGATGAATTTTTTTTTGATGAAGTTATTAAGGATAAAAACCTGTATTGATCATCAAGATCAGGGACTTCAGAGATGTTGGAAACAGGGAGGTGGCGCAAGAAGAAGGTGCTTTCCCAATCGAGATCTTTGATTTCACTCTGAACAGCTTCTAACCCTTTACTCTCCACCATTTCCCTGAACTTTTGCTCCATGGATTTCTTGTAATGCTCTTTTGTCAGCTTCTCAACAGTGTCCATTAGCTCTGGAGATATGCCATGATTCAACACCTATCCAAAAAAAATGAAGGAGACATACTTAGAAATTAACTAAGTAAACAAAAGATTTAATGAAATAAATTTTCATTTCCTTTTATGTGTTTTTGTTCATCTAGTTTTTTTTTTTTTTTACCTCAAAGAAGCCCCAATTCTCACAAGCATCTTTGATGACTTCCATGGTAGCAGCCCTTCCATCACCATTGAGCTTCTCCATGTTGATTATGGGGAAGTTTGCCATGGTTTCTCTCTTTGTTTTGTGTGTGTGTGTGTTTTGCGTGGGTTTAAACTAATCTCTTGCTCTCGGTGTAGAATGTGTGTGATACTATAAAATTATGGTAGATTTGGGGTGATATTTATAGAGGCCTAAAAGGGCAGAAGATAAGAAAGAATCGATTGGATGATTTGAGATTTTCAGCAATGAAAGCTCCCCGAAAAAGAAATGGCATAATTTAAAAATAAAAAAATAAAAATTTTTGTCATGTTTCACTTTGGTCCTTGGTGTTGAAAAACTTTTCAGCTGATTCCTTAAATTTTCATAATGTAATTCTCTCTCACGTCTATTCCACTTACATAATTAGCTGAAATTATTAATCGGGACATACAAATCACTTGGGAACTTGTAAGGCATCTTGGAAACGAATTTATCCATACACAGGTGATTACTAAACGTATCAACTGAAGTGAAGTGAATAAAAATAGGGGACTAATTTGAGATTTTCAGGACAATGTAGATTAAGGAAAGAAGTTGAAGGACGGTTGTAAGAAATTCACCTAGAGAAAAGAAAATAGAGTTAAAGGCAATAAAATAGAGAGTTGTTAGTGGGAACAAAACTCGTGGAGCAAGTATGTGATCACATCCTTTGATGGACCCCTACCAAAGTTTGGCAGAATTCTCCAACTGTAAAAAAAAAGGAGATAAGCTGGGCTGGAGCCAAAATGCCTAAAGCCGGTGATCATTCATATGGCTATTGAAACCCCCTTTTTTTTTTCCCGCAACTATAATGAAAATTCTAACAAAATATCTATCCGCTCCTTAATATAAAACATTTTGATTTGTCATCGATTTCATCTAATATACATTTTTAATTGATGAAAAAATCTTTACAATATATTTTCACATTCATTGTGTTCTTTTGATTGTTACGAAATATTTTAAAGGTTTTTTCGTCAATTAAAAATGCGTACTGGGTGAAACTTATGACAAATCAAAATGCCTTATATTAAGGACCGGAAAGAGTATTGTTGTAATAAATATTTGTATATTTTCTCTGTCCTTGTTCTTAGATCAAATTAATGAATTATATGATTCGCCACTTGTAAATTTTGATAAAATCCGAACAATGGCTAATTAAGTCACTCACTAAATTGCTAGTGACTACACTTTGGCCATTTGGTTTGGTGGGGTTTATACAACTAACTAGTTTTAGTTCTTACTGATTGATTCAATGAAGACGAAAGCTTTTAGACATCTCGGATCTATCTTTCTTTGCTTTATGACCAGAAAGTAAATAAACAAGTGCGACTAGTAAGGGAGGCTGCTGCTACTTTTCTCATTGCACGCGGATTTTCCTTTCTTTATTATCATTAGAAATGACATGTTAAAAAGAGACATTTTTAATATAGTAGGGTTTTTGGACTTTGGACTAAGAAAAACAAACAATGTCAGTCAGGGCAAATAGTAGATTTTTTTCGGTTGGGCTATCTTTGACTGCTGCTATTAGTATTTGGTATGGTGTACAAACTTCAGTCTACACTCTTTTTCTTTCTTTTTTCCTTTTTTTCCCGCCACAATTTAATTGGTGGGGGAAAAAAATCAAGTTTTACTTAACTGGTTTTTATCATACTAATTTTGGGAATAAACCAGAAATCATCATACCTTAAAATTGTTTTGGAGTGCTTGATTGGAGGCCATTTTAATAACATAAACAAGGCATCAATATCTAAAAAGATTGAGCGAATGTCAATGCATCCAAATATTTTAAAGAAGTTATGAGATTCTTTCTTCATCATTCTCTTCCTATATTTAGGAAGCTCCATTGAAGTTTCCTTTAGTGTTTAATTAGAGTGTAGAAATTGTAATTTTAAAAATAAAATTTGAGGTAATTATCTGCATTTTTGCGGTGGCGATTCTGGAGAATGACATGCTGATAGTGTATATGAAGTTTCCTCTCATCTACCTTAGAGACCTTTATTCAATTTGTCATTGAAATTGAATTTTTATTTTTTTTGTGGCCAAATTGGAAGTTATTTAATCGACATTAATTGTTGCTTGTCAATCGAATTTCCATGGTCTTAGATGTGGACGTTAATGTGTGCTAAGCACCACAAACATTTGTTGATGATAATTAAAAAATTAACAGTATGCGAATCAAAGTCATACAAATAATTATTAACTAATTAGTTTAACCATGAGATCTTTTGGAGGGATTAGAAAGCCGTCGGATGATGTTGGCAGTTGCCAGTTCAGTTAATGAATAAACACTTTCTCGTTTTAAAATAATTATCATATTTATTTAATTAAATTAACATAACAACAAAATTGCCATTTTAGAATAGAAGGAGTGATAACGTTATTTGCCCCAAAAATTGCACCCGATGATGATACAATCAAGATGTGACAATCATGAACGAAAACAATGGACTAATTAAATTTTGGACTACTGATTTTAAGAAAAAATAAATAAATCAAATTTGATATATTTGTAACTACTATTTCGTTGAAACTAGTGAGCTTTCATGCATCCTCATAGCTTTGGACCCAGAATTCTAAAAGCAATATTAAGCAAGAAGAAACAAATCACGGGGTTAGTAAGGATATGACGGTATCAATATAAATTGTCCAGAGTAGGTAATTTTAACTTTCCATAGGAGAGCAATGAAGTCTAGATGTCCAATCAGCTGCATATTTGCACTATTATTGGGAGAGTAATGGCTGTATTGGTAACTATTTTGTATCTATAAGAGGGTGTAACGATTCTATAGTTAGAAATTGGAGGATCTAACTCAATAAAAACATTATATATGCACAATTTTTTGTACTTGAGCCGACCAATAGGGTGTAAATTGTAAAATGTTATATTGACCCCTAAGAAAAACAAAAACAAAGAAATGGTGTTTGAGCCTTGAGCCGACGTGAAGACGTCGCAAGTGTGTGTTTGGGTTTTTTCCTTTTGGGAGAGAGAATTGATGGCGGCCTGAGTTTTTGGTTTTATTTAACAAAAAAATGATTTTCTAAACTGAAAAGTTCAAAATCACACGCCACGCACGGTCATTATTAGTATAATTAATTAATCATTATGATGTCACACTGATTTTCAATGATAGTGAACCCATTTTTTCACTTGTATAATTAAAATTACCTTTGATCAAACCCTAAACCGTGAAAAGCAAAAATGTCACAACTGAAATTCTTCAAGTTTTCTTCAAATATGAATGCGCTTATACTATGTGTGCGAATGTGTGTGTGTGTTTCTTTTAAAATCACTTAAAGGGGGCTATTTATTTTTCCTCTTTTCTATTGGTGAAGGTAAAAGCGGGGCCATATAATTAATTTCTGTAAGTTTAACACTTTATTAATAATTTGGGTGAAAAAAATTAAAGCACAGAATAAGGTAGCCATGTTGTATGCGTGTGGATACTCAAAATAAGCGCATGCGCAAAGAATTTTCAGTAACAGCGACTAGAGATTTTTTTTTTCTTTTATTATTTAAGCTGCTGACTTGAACAGTTCTACATGTTTCTTTTTCTTGTACCTTTTTTTTTTTTTGGGGGGGTATCATGAAGCATAATAAAAAAAATATCAAATCTGTTACTATAATAAGTGTTTCAGGTGAAAAAAGTTTTTTTTTTTTTCTGATTGACCGCGGATGATCACATTTCTTCTGAATGAATTATTCATTACAACTATAACTATAAGTGCAAGTGTTTGAGGTGAAAGGAGTTTTTTTTTTTTTTTTTCGTGCTTAAAATCAAATTGAAAAATTAAAATGTCAAAAATAAAATTTCATTTTCTCTCCAACAACAACAACAAAAGAAGATTGGCACAATGGTGCACGTTTTGTGTCGACATTAAAACATAATTGTAGGTACAAAGGAATCGAAGTTGAATTTTTCGGATTGCCAACCTGATCTCTTATCAAATGATCAGCCACCACACACGTACGAATGCCCTAATTATAGAAAATTCGACATGCAAATCACGAAGGAGGACAAAAATGATATCAACACCGTACATCAAATTTAATTTCGGTGTCGGTGAAGGTACGTACGAATTTAACACGGCGATATTATAGATGAGAAATTATACTAGCAAACATTATATATACTACTTGCACTAGGGTAAGGATTTCTGAACGGCTTTACTATTTAGCATTTATGGTATGTCCCTTGAACTGTGATTTACCCATATATACACTTGAGTATGAAAATGAATTTACTTGGGAAAAGAAAAAGGAAAACACAACAAAACGATAGAGAGATCAACAAATATTTACTTAGACCTTTTGCTTTCGATTTCGAGGGATGTATACATTGTCAAGAGTTTTGATTAAATTTTGATCTTCTTGAATTGAAGTGACAATAGGTAAAAAGAAAACTCTCTGTGTATGTATGTTTGTGCAACGTGTGGGAGGACATTATAATTAAGTTGCTTTTAAATGTTGGATTCCATTTTTTTTCCGCTTATATGAGTATCTTTGTCGACTTGTGCTCTTTCTTTTCTTAATTTACCTTGTTTACGATACAAAACTTTGCCACAAAAGTTCATCTTCGAGATGTGAAAGGATGCATTTTATAGCAATTTACGCCTTTGAAGAAATTAAGAAGAAAAACTCCAACCGTCCATCAAACCTCGTCCCCTAATTTGACACTCCTTGTTCAATATCTTTGTTCGTTTGTTATTTCGTATGTTTCAAAATAATTGTTCAGAGTGAATTTTCATTCTCAGTTAAAATTAGACTAAAAAAATAAAAATGCAATTTACACAGTCATTTTGAAGGGGTACAAAATTGTTCAGTTGCCCCAAAATTGAATAATAATAACAAAAATAAAGGCGGCAAATTGAAGTCGATCGCTTGAGCTAAACATCTCACAAGTAACTATCACATTCTTTTACTCTAAAAAAATATAGATTTTCTTCTTTTCCATTATTACGTAAATAAACAACTTCACTAATAAGATGATATTCAAACCATATTCAAATGAATGTGAAAATGTGATATTATCTTATTTTATATATATACTGCATCCCAATTATGCATTTTTAGGTTCCTTTCGGAATCTGATAAAGTTAGAATGATACGGAGAGAGACGATTAACAGAACCTTGCCAATGGATGAAACTCGCACAAATCAAGAATTTTACAAAATTTTCAAAAGTATAATCTCTTTTAGACGGAAGGAATAGTATTTAGAAGGAAAAGATTAAAGAATAAGTTCGGAAATTGACATGCAAAAAAAATGTAAGAATATGCGTACGTGCGGGTTTCAGTCTTGGAGACGCTTTCTGGACCTTTGCCGCGAGGTTTCGTTTTCCTTTCCCTTTTCCCTTTCTCACTTTTTCTTCTAAATTCTAAGCCAAAAAGGAAGAAGCAATTCCCTAATTTTTTCTTTCACTTTGCGTGCATGAATGTACTAAAAAAAAAAAAGATGATCGAGATGCCCGCTCATCATGTCTATCAAAGTAATTATTTGGAGTCATTTCAACTTTTATCGTGGTGTTACACTCTCTATTGCTTTCTTGATTTCACCCCAACCATATTATTACACTGGTATTTTACTCTTTTTTTTATTTATATTACGCACTTGATTTTCG